GGGAGGGTGGAAAGGGAAACCTGTTTTCAGAGAAGGTGTAAGATCAAGAAGGATTCAACAGCAAGTTTGGTTGTGGAATGTTGGTTTTATTTACTGAAGCTTGCTGAGAAGGTTATACCAGTGTGCACAGCTTGGAACCATCTCGGGTTCTGGTCTATTTAGCAAATGACATTTTAACTAGAAAAGTGAGGAGAGAGGGATTTAAATGTTCAAGCAGCCTTTTATCAGCACCATCTGAAAGCACTTCTGTCCTTCAGCACCCTGAAAGAACCAGATTAGGATGAAGCTGGGAATATGCTCAATGACGCAGTGTCAGCTCTTATCAGATCTGCAGGATAAAGGATGTTGTTCCCTTGCCACAATAATTTCAGAACCTTCAACAACAAGCTCGTGCACAACTTTGTTACAAGTACATTAAGCCCCAAAGATGAATTTCATATTTCATGAGCAATCATTACTCAACCTGTCTTTAAACACAGAAGAGACTTCCTGATTTATTCTGCTCTGTTTGTTCAGACCTTCAAGTAGGCACAACTAGAGGAGAAGAGGGGAGAGTACTCCAGTAAGTACAGAAATACAGGGAGATAGTTTTGTGCCTCAAATTGCAAGGAGTTGATAATTTAATTTAAAGGGATGATATGAGCTTAAAACTCTTCCAACAAACACCCAGCCAAGACGTTGGCCAAATACCAGGAAATTCTGCCTCTTGTGCTGCTGTCTGTCCTGTGTCCTGACATGCCAAGGGACAAGGAGGTGACTCCAGAGAAGGCTGCATCCCATGGATGGGATGGTTGCTCTTTGATACAAAACTGGTTAATTCTTTTTTTCTAAAAATATTTGAGATTTGGCAGAATGAAGAAAGGTTTGCAAGTGGCAGGTCCTGTGTGACCTGTGGTGACACAGCTCTGAAAGGAAATGTTGGCCCACGTAACTAGGACAGCAATGCAAGAACCTCTGTGAAAGGACAGGCAAATGCCACACAGCAATTGACAGCAGACAGCAAAGCAGGGAGTCATTGGATAAATGGATCACAAGGATCATTTTCTTGGTCTTGTTGGGATGGTGCAATTACTGCTTAGAAGAAAAGGGGTCATGATTTGACTTCAGCTCCAGGGTTGACCAGCCGTCCAGGCTGACATACCTGGGGACTGAAGCCAAACCATGACCTCAGGGTCATTCCTGATCCCTTCCACTAATTGACCCAGGACTTTGCAGCCCACTCAGGCACTTCATTGCAGTTAAAGCTTTTTCCTCCTCCTCCTCCTCCTCCTCCTCCTCCTCCTCCTCCTCCTTTTCCCCAGATTATGTTTTTTCTCCTAAAACATCTGATCTTCCCTCTGCATCACAGCTGCTCTATATGACCTGGCTCCATAGCCCCTTTCTTGCAGGGCTGCACTTCAGGCCTCCTACTGTGCACTGCTGCTTTGCTGTCAGTGTTCAATCCCAGAGTTATTGATTTCAGGCCATTTCTCCAGTCTGCTGTGAATTATTTGAATTCCAATCCTGCCATCAGCAGCAGTTACCACCATAGGCAGAAATTTTATTAGCTCCTTTTTCTCTTATCCTCCAAGTAATTAATTAAAATATTGATTAGCACTAGAGACAGGACAGACTCTAGTGAGGCACTTCTAGATAAATCCTTTTGGGCAGGCAGTAAACCACCCACAACCCCTGAATGTGAAGCTTTCCAATTAGGCATGGTCTTTCTGCTTTTTTTTCTCTTCTCTGCACAGTTCCATCTGGCTGATAGTTTATGAGAAAAAGGTGGGATAGGGTCAAAATCCTTCCTTCAGTTAAGAGGCAGAACACCTTTCCCAGGTGGGGCAGGACCTGCCCAAAGGAGATCTGAAATGTTTGATGTAATCTCTCTGTGACAATCCATGACATCATTATCCAAGTGATTGGACATGAATTAGTAATTTCTTCAGCATCTTTCCAGTACTCAGTGCTGAGGTGGGCCAGAATATGCCTGTTTTATCTGTTTTTTCCTTCTAAGACCCTCCAAATTCTGTGAATTGTGGGGTTAATTCAAAGCAATTTAGCAATTCCTTGGCTCATCTCTTCAGTATCCTGAAGATAACTTCCCAGATTTTCCTAAACTAAGTATTTCTACCTTGTGTAGATACATAAATGGATTATTTGCCTTCCTCTTGCCCAGCTTGGGGACTGGATTTCAACTGTGGCTCTGCCCTTGTCCCAGGCTGTGGCCAGGCACACTGATTCTTCATCAGTGTCTCACAACCTCCCCAATGCAATTTATGGCTGTTGCCTAAGGTATAGCCTTAAGTACTTTGTAAGTTCTATTTTAAGCTATCTCCAGGGGAATATCTCCTCTGGGGAAAATCTGGTAAACAGCACAAGGTGGATTTTGCTGCTGCTACATCTTCCTTTGCAATCCTCCTACCTGCCTGCCCCTTGCTCTCCATCAAACACTCTTCTTCCTCCTCCCTTGGTGCTGACAATCTCTTTGTATTTCCTGGGTTTTATCTCCCTCCCTGCTGACAGTGGGAGCAGCCTTTCCAAACTGCCTCTTTTTCATCTCTGGCAAGTCAGGCCCTTTCAACAGTGTTGAGCACAGAGGAGGAGAAGGGGAAAAAGTGGATTTATTCTCTTTACAGAAACTCCAGCCCAAATTAATGGAAATTACTAGAGCAAAAGCATAATACAGGCCTATAGCTGATCACAAAGCTAAGACACACTGTTGCCAAGTACCTTGGAGGCTTATCCACAGGGATCTCTTTCTGCTGGAGGGGTGGTGAGGAAAGGAAAAATTCAGGCTGCACCAGCTTGCACATTGCCTGAGAAAAACCTTTTTATGATGCAATAGGCGTTTTCCAAGTGGAAAATGGATGTGGAGCCCCAACTGACCCTAAAGATCATATCATTCCACTCCCCTGTCATGGGCAGGGACACCTTCCACTAGCTCAGGTTGCTCCAAGCCCATCCAACCTGGCCTTGAACACTGCCAGGGATGGGCCAGCCACAGCTTCTCTGGGCAAAGAAGCAAATTTGTGGCAGATTCCTGGCAAAGCACATTGCACCTCTCAACATTTCACTCCATACAAAACAAATCGTGTTGTTATTTGTTTATTGTGGTTTGGAAAGTACCTTGGAGTGGCTTGGGATTGTGCTGAACAAGACAGGAAACTGCAAGGACTTGTGCTTAGGCAGGAAAGAACCTTCTTCTCCACCAGATGCAGCAAGCATGCCACAAATGCCTGGGCTGCCAAGAGCTGGAGCAACCACTGTGAGCATTGTAGACAGTCTCTACTCCTGTCCAAAGAACATCATTCCTATTCCAGTCCTGCTGACAATCTACTTTAGCAACAGATGCTGCCTAGTCATGGTAATAGTTCAGAACTTGTCCAGTTTTGGCCTTCTGATGCTCAGTGTCAGCACATGCTACTCATCCTTCCTTGGATGAATCCACCTACATCTCTTCAGCATCCATTCACACCTCTGTCTCCTGGAACCTTCTCTGATGCCAGAAGTCACTTCTGTGTTGGTACCTGTGAACAGGGCTGTAGTGCCTCTTAACCATCTCAATGAACACAAGGCACAGCACAAAAATAGGAAAAAAAACACCTAAAAAATAAAATTAATTTCTCACTCTGCAGTATGGTAATTGCGTCTCTCAAAATGGCTGAGCAAACAGTCTGGTGAAATATTGAAACCAGTTACTTAATCATAGGCCTTTTTGCCCTCCACCACTGTACCTCTCTGCACAGCCCAGTCCTTACCACATGACTATTTGCCAGGGTGGGAGAAGTTAATGAATTTTATGCACTGTGTATTTCTGTTCTGCATACTTGGGTTGAACTTAGAAGTTTTGTTTTCTCTATATTAAATTCCACCCTGGAGCCAAAAATTACAAGTTATCCAATGCTCTGTGGTTGCACACTGATGGTGGTAGGAGAGCAGCAACACAATTTGTGCTTGAGTGGAAAGGATCCCTGAGATGGGAAGAATTTAGAAAATAGAGGCAGCTGCACCAAAATAACACCAGACTCAACTTTCAACCCCTAATTACAGTTGCATCAGACAGTAACTCTACTCAAGGAGCATAACAGGGCTCGCCAGCTTTGTGCTCAAGTGGCTTAGCCATGAGCTCTGCCCAGTCAGCAAGAATGTTGGCTTCAACCTCCCTCTCTGGGCTTTCATCCCTAGGAAAAGTTCTGCCATTCTCAAACTGCAAAACAGGAAGGAACCTGAATACTCATGGGCCTCAGTGATCTCCTGTCACAAAAAAATGACTACTGCTAATGCAAAAAAAAAAAAAGTTAGTATTATTACTGCAAAATGTGGTCATGCTGCCAAAGTGCTACAAGCCTGCAGCTATTGGAGTTTCTCTCCTGGACTGGACCACAAGCTCCTTTTGATGTCCTCTCCTCCACAGGATCCTCATCCCTCCCCCTCCCCACCAAAGCTTCAACTGCACAGCAGGTGTGTAGGTTGGTCCTCGCAACGGTCCTCATATCCAGCCAGTGACAAAAATCCCAGCAATGGCAGCTGGAGCTAGATGAAGCCCTCAAGGAAGAGAGAGACCATCTAACATCATGAGAGGAAAGGGAATATGCACAACTGACATTTTGGGGGCAAGGGCAGATAATCATTCATGGAGATGTATGGGTTCAGTACAAAAACATTTCTTAAAAATGGTTTATTTTAAAAAAAATCCCGCACAAAACTCTTCGGCTCTATGGTTAATGCTCAGTGCTGGCATCACCAACACTGTCAGCAGG